GATTAAGGGATGGCCGGCTTGGGGGTAAGGCAGGGTGGGGTTTGGTTTGGGCTTGTGGAGGGGTGCTGTCTCATGGGGGGGGGGAGCTTCCAGGATGGCATGTGGTGGCTGTTGAGTGGTGGCTTGCAGGCGCTTGTGATGGTGTGCAGGAGCCCAAGGTGCTTTCAGAGGCATGCTACCAATTGTATGTGGCAAGCGCATGCTTGCCGTATCCCCCAGTCGCATCCGTCAACCCCTTGCACCTCAACACGCAAGCCAGCACGTGCCCACGCGTGCTCTGCGCGCTTGCCCACCATCACCCCCCACACACACACACACTCACGCACACAAGCACACACACACACACACACACACACACACACACACACACAAATGCTCGCACGCACAACATGAACCCACTAAACCTCTGCGACCCACCCCCCAACAGGTGGATGACAAGAGCCAACTGGAGTACATGCCAGGGCAGGAGGCCCCCATGGAAGAGGATGGCAAGGACCAGGAGAAGGGCCAGCAGCCCCAGAAAAAGGAGGAGGAGAAGAGGCCGCAGGTGCGCGGCGGGGCCTGGCGGCGCGCGGGTGATCACTTTTGCGGAGGGCAGGAGGGTGCTGGGTCGGAGCAGCGCAGGCCGGGTGCACTGAGAGATAACATGGCGCCAGGGCGCCGGGCTCCGCGCCTCTGGGCTCGCGTTGGGGTCGCGCATCCTTTGCGCAAGATGCTGGCCTGCGGGGCTGCCCCGCTCGGCAGCCCTGCAATCGGCGCCCCACCGACCAGCTCCCCTAGTCCCCGGGTGCACCTCGGCCACTGCCACAGTCACCCAACCTGCTCTATACCAAACCGCACCGCACCGTACCGCCCCTGACCCAACCCTCAAATTTCAAAACCCAACCTCAACCCCCAAACCCCGAATAACAAACGCGAACCCCCAAACTTCAAACCTCAAACCCCAAAATCATAAATCTGAACCCTACAACTATCAATCTCGTACTCCAAACCCCCAGCCGCAAGAGGAGGCCGGCGGCGGCTCAGAGGAGGAGGACCCAGGGGCCGAGGAGGAGGGCGGCGTAAAGGACGACGTCGATGACAAATACGACGACAACCACCACGCGCGCCCGGAAGCTGCCGAGGAGGAGCTGCAGCTGCCCGACGATCTGAATTTGGACGGCGGCGACAAGGAGGAGGGGCAGGAGGATGAGAAAGGCGGCGGCGACGACGCCGCGGCGGCGCCGGAGGAGCAGGAGGGGGCGGAGGCGGCGGGGGCGGACGAGAAGGGCGCGGATGGGAAGGGGGATGAGGAGGAGGAGGGCGGGCCGCGGCAGGAGGGGGAGGAGCAGGAGGGGATGGACGTGGACGAGCCGCCCGGCGGCGCCGACGGCGAGCGGGGGAACGAAAAGGAGGAGGACGGGGCTGAGGAGCAGCCCCGGGAGGGCGAGGAGGACGGCGGCACGAAGGAGCCCGCGCCGGAGCAGCAGCAGGAGGAGCAGGAGGGGCAGGGAGAGGAGCAGGACGAGGCGGATGCGGTGGCGGCGGCGGCAGCAGCCGAGCAGGAGGAGGAGCGGCAGGAGGGGCAGCAGCTGCCCGAGGCAGGGCCGAAGGGCACGCGGTCGGGAGCCGCGGCGCCCAAGGCGCAGCAGAGCCTCGGCGCGGCGGACGGGCAGGAGCAGCAGCAGCAGGAGGAGGAGGATGAGGGTGCGGACGACGCCGGCGCCGCCGGCGCTGACGTGGACATGACGCAGCCGGATTCCGCCCAGCAGGCGAAGCAGAGCGCCGTCGGCGCGTCCGGCGC